TTTCAGCCTGCTAAGCCCGAAGACGTTTTAACAGTGTGTTACACGAGTGGCTCCTTTACAGATCTAGAGATAAGTGTTTGTGTATCTCCTAAGCCATAGAGTATAACGGAGAAACAGGTGAGGATATCACTCTCGCCTCTTTGTAATAGAGCTCTTTACGGTTGATTGTCGAATAACCAAAACCAAACTTACCCTAATGGCCGATCAGGAGAAAGGAAAATATCTTACGGAAGCTACCAAGCGCTCGAAATCAAAACAAATAAACCTCCTGAGGCGTGTGTCACACAGTTTTAATTGGCCATAATAATCTCGTCCGCAGTTAGTCGTCAATACAGTTAAACAGTTCAGTGGCAAGGTGTTTTCGAAAACCGTTCCCAAGGATCTCGAGATTAGTTTTGTTTATTTTATGGTAGATTTTAGTTTTGAGCCTGTTTGATTGTGAGAATGACCGCGAGTTTTCTTTGGCAATCAAATAGTTAGAAGAATTAATGCAATCCGGGATTACTCTCTATGCTCAGTTGAAAAGTGCTCTTCCAGGTTTTTCTTAACAACCGTCATTGAAATCGAAAAGAAAATATAAACCTTTCAAAGCTACCTCACTGCTCATCACTGAAGTGGAGCATTACACGTTAGGACTCTATCGCATGCGACAAGCTTACGCCATGTTTACAACTCGAATCACGTAATGTGAATCAACCTACGTGAATCAATGTGTAAATCAACATCCTTCCGACAGACGCGTCATGTCGAGATACCGACATTTACTAACTCACCCCCTGCTAATCTGTCTGTGTTTTCCCTGGTAGGCTCCCGTGGGGAACCAAAATGTCATCATCTTGAAAATTTGCGAACTAGAGCCAAGTTAACCCGAGTCTAAGTTCGCGTTAACGAACAGAAAAATCCCAAAAGACAGGTAACAAAAGCTTCATTGTCTTAAAAAATCCTAAGCAAAACAATAAGCAAAGTTTGTTACGTCATCGCACTATATGTTGCATAAATGAAGGTTTAGTCAAATTTGAGAAGAAATTCTTGATTTTTAAGCAAATTCTCCTCATCAGGGCCACAGAAAAGTTATAGAGAGGGGCAAGGAGAATATTTATTGTGATGTTTGTGTCCTAAAGAGTGATTCCCCCTCCTCTTTCCTTTGATACAATGATATGATACAAAACATAACCTCATCATGGCCGAGAAGGGAAAGGCTGCTAATGCCGATATCACTCCTTCAGCGTTATTCTTTGCTTTCTGTAACCTCCCTTATATTTCTACATTTTGTGGCCACGAAATCAGAAGGTACCAGTGTTTCTGTTTGATTTTGTTGTTTTGTTTCCTTATCACAGGACATTGGAAGAACGAACTTTCAAGAAAGAAGGGTAACTGGAATTAAACGATTCGCTAA